TAAATAAAGGAGCGTTATGCACGAGTCGTCGCACGCGCGAGCGCGAGCGCGATACTGAAGCGGAATCCGAGAAGCGGCGCGGGAGGAAAGCTAATTAGCGCGGATCGAACCTTCGGCGCTTGATAAATGGACAGCCAATATTTGGACTAAGGGTGTCCCCCCGGGCGCGCTTTCTCGCTTTTTATCGCTCGAGTTCTTTCCACATCGGTCGTCGGAAGACACACGGCCCGCACGATCAGGGTTGTGAAAGGAAATAGATGACGACGCGCGTACGCACAAACTTACGCGCGTTCGGGTAAATATCTCCGCGGGTATTTACACGAGCAAGCTCGACTCCGAGATAGCCCGTGATTAATGGCCCTTCTTCAAGCTTTATTAACGACCTGTCCACCCAGCCCCACCTTGACCACTTTTGGAAAGGCTCGCGTAGCCGGCTCGCGCTCCGTGAATCGCCGTGCACGATTTTATTCAGGCAGCCTCCTGAAACGCCGCCGGCGTTCATACGAACGGGCCGTGATGACGCTCATTAGACAGAATTTACGCGTACATGTGTCCGAAGACGGTATCGATCGATATACATCCAGCGTGTCCGAGTTCCGTGACAGACGTTAATTATTATTGTTTACTCAAGGTACGCGCGTCACGCATTCGCACGCTCCCGTTTACTCGTGTTTATTACCACGATATAATTAGATCGATTCCAAGAACAGACGATCTTTTCTGCGATCGATGTTGAGTCACACGGCGAGAAGACCATAAGGTACCGTATAAATACACGGTAATCCTATCCGATAATAGTCGCACAGTCAATTAAGATGACCGTCATAAGAACCAATTAAACGTAAGTGCGCGACCATCCCGGCTCGGGTTACGTATTTACGATCTAAAATTATGCGTTTTCGTCGCCCGCTCTGCCATTACTTGCTCCACGATTTCTTCTTCGGGCGAACCCTCTTCCCTTGTCCATCTCCCCCCACTTCTACTCCCGATTATGAAATTTTATCTGAGCACCTGGCTCGACACACGCGTGTCCCCTTCGAAGTGTCCTCGTGTGGTCAGACACCTCGGCCGAGAAAGCGTTGCCAAAGCCATGTATAATTCCTCGTCAAAAATCGGACATAATTGCCGCAATTATGCGTGTAACGCAATTACCAAGTCATTTCCTCGACGCATACAGGCGCGCGCGACGAATCGAAACGAGTACTCTTTGGAAACGCGTAAATAATATATTTGCGTAAACGTGACGACCGGATGTGTGATCTACGTGATTAATCGCCGCGTTAATTAAAATGTTCGCTTAATAAGTACAGCGGGGAAAAACAGCGGCACGATTCATTTAGCAATTATTTTATGTAGTCCGCGCACATATGTACCGTTAAAGTACTTCGCGATGCGCAGCCCGATGGAAACCGCCGCGTGCATACGATAATTCGAAAGCTGCGGAACGCGCCGCGATAATGACGATTCCGAGCGAGTTAACTCGAGAGTGAAAACGCCAAACGCCCTTAAGACATCCAACACCTTAGTGAGAATAGTAAAATTATTAGGTGATTAGTTCTTTTCTAAGATCGCGGATGAACAAAAAAAAACATCGCGCGTGTGGCTCTACACTTTCTATAGATGAAACTAGCTCTCTCTCTCTTTCTCTCTTTCTCTCTTTTTCTTTCTACAAAGCCGTCTCTCAAGGGAAAAAAGCTAGCGGTGTCGAAGGACTTGTCGCAAGAGCAGAAAAAATTAGAAGCGCGATGATTATTAAGTACTAGCTTGAACTATCGGACATTGTCCGGATTATCACTAGGTCGAGGGGATGAAATCAGAAGGAAGGGTGAAGTGTCCAGATTTCGTGATAGCCTATATTTATTGCAAAGTCCTAAATTATGTAAAATTTGGTTCAGATCGATCAAAGAAGTTTATGGAAAAACATACAGACATTCCATTTTACATATTAAATATACCAAATAAAAATAAAATTAAATATACTATATATACTAAATATTAGATATATACAGAAAAATATATACTATATTCAAGCAAATGTAACTTGCTTCAAATATTTCACAAGTTCATATCCGCTTTACTGATTAATTCAAAATGCATTTTAAATATTAATTAAAGCAAAAATTTGCTTACTGCCTAGATTCGAATTGTCTTTATGTTCATTAAAGTTTAATAATATTCTTAGGAAGAGAATAATTCTTTTTATAATGAGCGTTTTTAAATTTGTCATGAGTATGAGACTAAGAGTATTCAAGATTTTTCTGTTATCAGGAAAAAATTTTTTATCGAAGATAAACATTGCTTGATGGAAGGAAAGCAAACTGAGTAATCGCTTTTCTCAGCGGTAGAATGATGGTATTTTTCTGTGTGTAGAAGAGGACGAGTGGCGAGAGCCGGGTAGCCCGCTCAAAGCCCAGCAAATCAAAGCCCATTAGGTCCCGATTAATTATCAAATATAATCTGGTCCGAATTGTCAACTAAATGATTTGGATCAAGCTCATACAGGTCTGACTTTTCAAAACGAATACAAATCGGGCCAGGTTATATTTGGTAATGAATAGGGCCGAATTAAGTACTATTGGGCCTTGATTTGTAGGGCTGTAGATGTATTATCAAGATCGTTCACCTTATTCCAATTGTTATTCGATTGATAATTTTGACCTAGAATCGCGTCAGCTATATGATAATGACAATATTGTGATTTTAGATTTACGATATATCTCACGATATTCTCTGCGTTAATGATCCACGCGAATGCTCTTCAGATAAAGTTCCTGCGATAACCTGTAAATCGTATCTTACTCGATAAATACTCTCGACATTTTGGAACGCGCCACTCGACGATCAATAAATCTTGTGCGCTTCTTCCGCGTTATCGCGTTCTCATGCCGTTTTCTTCACATCGCGCTGTTAATCACGCTCTATCGCGGTTCAGTAATTCGATAAAGAAGCGTTTTAATGCCGTCGTTCTTTGCTTTTGTTTGATTCCAGCGACGATATAAAAAAGCGATATATAAAGCGCGTCTGCCCTTTTATTTTCGCCCCTGTCTAAGTATCTCCGATTGAAACGCGTGTGTGTATATACACGATGGTATCCTTGAACAATATCAACTAGAAAAAGAGCAAATAAATTTCCGTTCGGTGTCGATACTTTCAGAAAAATGAACGGCAGGGGGATTGTTTCGCCCCGGGGAAAGAATGGTCCGCGCGAGCTCGCGTCTGCAACCGCGATCAGCGGGACAACACTTCCGCGACTAAGACACCGGAGTGGCGGACGCTACGTATGCCGATATATATGGACCCGTCTCGCGCGTTGATAGATACCAGAAACTTTACAACTTTAATTTTTCCCCCGACGTCAATTTTAGGTTTTAATCTTGACCTACACTCCGGACAGCAGCGTCAAACCGAGGAAGAATTATTACCTCCGCGATTAAACGACGCGCTCTTCGGGCGAATTGTATTTGGGCTTTAGAAATTACCGTGGGCATCGTTTTAAGAGCGTTTTTTGGCACAACATCGATGCCGATGAGAGACAAGACGATACAGGTGCCAATTTTATCTCTTTTTCGTACGAGTGAACGTTGATTAAATCGTCTTGTGCTACGTTATGTAAATATAAAATCAATTATATTGTTTCGAACTTCGCTTATCTTTCATTTTGACAAATAATAAGGCTTACGATAACTCGCCAGAATATTTAAGAGATGGATAATATAATGACTATAATAATGTAAGAATGGTCCAATCTACAATCTGATTTTTGAGTTTTTGTTAACAGTAGGTAGTTTTATACGTCTTTCTATATAACACAGAAAAGACCCAAGTCTTATGAGCGCCTGAAATTAATTAAAGAATAGTCTTTATTTTCTATTAGTTGCGCTATTTTTTACTAGTTGCGTCCCTTGCCCATTTTCTGAAAGGTTTGTTAACGAATAGTCTTAACGCTAGAAACCTAAACATCAAAAGATTACGTAAACTTTAAATATGGGTAATTTTTATTTGCTTATAACTTCTGCAAAAATTATTAAAATTCAATTCTTTTCTTCAGTCGGTATAGAAAACATCAAGGAATATGAATCTACTAATATTTCTACGATTCAATTAAGTTGAAGAAGGTTATAATGAAAAACAAAACATGTTTTTAAGAACAGTAATGCTTGGATAAATTTTAAAAATTAGTTTGAGTAAATTTTATTTGTGTTTAAGGTTTTAGGATTTAAGAAAAGAAAATTGACCATATATGACTTCTTGAATGATCTTCACGAAGAACGCGATCATCCATCATTCTTGAAATCATTCTTGACATACTCCATGTGGGTTGGATTCTTGTGATTAATCACGATCAATTTATCAAAGGAAATTATGAAATCACGTATATTCTGTCACGTGTATTCTGGCGTAATAATAATAGTCGCGATACGATCGCGTTTATATTTGTGAAAAGACGATATAATTTGCATTGTATAGTTTTGTGACTTTTATAAATATTGCTCCGTCGTTTTGCGACCGCCAATGACAGCACAGAGAACTGTCGTGCTCAATACAATCTTGCCACTGCTTAAAAAGAAACGTCTTTATAATGTAAGAGAAAAGAAGTATTCCTGTTTGGGACGTCCTGCTTCAGGATTTTTCCGGTCTAGCTATTCCAGTTCGGGACCCTTATTCATCTCAGGTGGCTTGCTTTGCACCTAGCAAACCCATTGTTCGCTTATTAGTGAAACTCGCCGCGGCTCCGCCAACTTTTATCGCGGATATTTCAATCGCGAGCGCGAACAATCGATGCACTCGGCGTATTCCACAATGGAAACATTCGGCGCCTTATCGAGCTCGTAGCAGATATCGCGTCATAATTTAGCGCCGAGGATCAATCGTTTTAAATCGAATATTCTATCTCGATTGCGAACTTGCTTTTTTGCCATTTTCGTTCCCTCTTTTTCTTGCTTTACGTTCTATTGGATGTGGTGGGTTGGGGAAAAAAGCATGCACATACTCACATATGATATTTTATAAAAAATATATTTTTATTTGTACAAGAGTGCTTTAAAATTTAAAGAAATCGATTATCGACATAAACATTATCACATTTCATTGTGTCGTTAATTAGACATGGTTATGCAAGAATGATCCAACCCACGAAATTATGATTTTCGAGTTTTTTGTGATCAATGGTATTCCAAATGACTTTCTATATGAAGCAAAAGAGATTCAAGCTTTATGGACGCGTAAAATCAGTAAAAAATCAGGTTTTACTTTCTACTAATTGCACCACTTTTTAAGGTTGTCTTTTTTTAAGGTTGTCAATGAATACCATTAAAGAGAAGAAAATTTATCATGTTTGATTTATTGAATAATTGCGAGGCATCGTTAGTATATACACTTTTTCAATCATGCATCAAATCTTCATCTTCATTTTTCTCGAAACATACTCCATGTGATCACTTTTGCATAACTATGGCCAATTTGAGAAATAAAATATCTGAAATTCTAAATATCTAACATCGAAAATCGCTCAATCAGTCACACCTTTTTTTCGCGGTAACAGCGCAATTGGCGCATCCACACGCATCAGTCGTAATTATCGTCGTCCCTGCGAGCGACGTTGTTCGCATCTACGCTAAAATTATTCGACGAAGGTAACCCGAGCGGTCTCTCTTTGCAAAATCGCCTTTCCCTTCTTTTTCAGCTTTATCTCCGTGCACATTATACCAAAATGATAAATATCCACGTCTGTGTTTATTCGAAACAGCCCGGAGCCTAAAATTCAGCGCGTGCTTTAATCCAACTGCTTTCCGCATCGCCTTATTATCTTTGTTGCTATGCGCGCGATATACACGGGAAATATTACGATAAAATTTAATGCACCGCGCGGCTAAGGTTCCGCGGCCGGTTCGAGTCGATTCGCGTTTCGAGAGGCCGCGGTGTATCTCCCCGACATATGTTTGCGCGCGCGCGTGTACGCCCCGCTGCGAGAAAATTCTTGCCGCTGCGAGAAACGAAGCGGGCAACGGAGGGAAATTGATACGCGTATTTAATGCTACTTAGCCTTTGCATTTAGAAACCCGGCTGTTCCGTATATTTTGCATTTCCGATGGAACCGTTATAATGCGTTTTACATCATGCGAGACGCTCTCGCGAAATACGTCTTGTGTTCGCGCTTGTACACTGAGAAAAATCCCTCGGTCATCAGAACAAAAGAGCGCTGTTTCCTACTCGACGATCGCTAGGGAAACAGTTATCGTTGCAATCATCACTTTACATTATTAAGCTCAATACCTACGGAACGTGATTTGTTTTTCTTGCAAAGAGTCATGCATGCTGCTAAGTTCGTTCTACAGAAAGAAATTTGACCCTCGACATGCTTCGTTGCGAGTTTAACGTTGATTAGTTTTTCCAAACACATTCGGTGTTATTTTCCAAACTTGTTACTAGGATCCTAACATAGTTCATTCGATCAGATAGAGCGAATGTCAGCTGACGTCAGTCATATAATTAATATACTGTAATTATATGAGTGACATCAGCTGACATTTGGTCTATCTGATTGAACGAACCGTATGGGGATTCTAGTAACACGCTTGGACAATAACACCGAAATTGGAAAAACTAACCGTCAAGCTCGCAACGGAGCACGCCGAGAGTCAAATTTTTCACTACAGAGCGAACTTAGCGGCATGCATGGCTCTTCGCAAGAAAAACAATTTTAAATCACGCTCCGTGAGTATTGGGTCTTTTAACAAATATATATTGCCTGAGATCTAAATTACATTTGTCCTAGTTTATTTAGATAAAATTAGCCATAGATTTGTTTGTTATCGAAGAACTTTTAAACACACAAATGCATACAAGTGCAATAAATTAGGACGAAAGAATGTTTCACTCTAGCTCATTGTACTGGTACAAAAGTTCGAACAGACTTCATTATAGAAATGTTGCTCAGAGCAGCGAATCGAAAGTAACAAATCATTTCTTTCCATCACGGGACCATTCGCTGTCCCATATCAACAAATCATTTTTGTATGGGCACCGATATTTTGTTGAATTAGCAGAACTTTTTCTCTCAGTATACACACCGCGACGAGTTAGATCGGCGATACGGGGAGCGGGAAGTACTACGACGACGAGAATGTTTCATGTCCGACGTTTGCGATAAGTAACGGTGTTGATTATGGGGTCCAAATTTAGACGGTGCAAAAATACCGTGAACGAGAATCGACGACGGGCGCGCTTGAGACAGCCGCGAAAACGCAATTACGCACCGCGAACGCGGCCGATCGATCGTCGAGAGAAACGAGTTTAGCTCGGCGCGCGGGTCTCCCGTTGCCACGATGAATTCCTGAATTCAAGAGGCGAGATCTTCGCCACGATGAAGTCTAGCAGCTAGTTCTCTTTCAGATCGGCACGCTTTGAAACTTTGCTTGAAACGCTTACTTCTTTCCCTTCGCGTATGGCGACGACGCTTTGGTCATCAAGTAATAGACACCGTTCGTTCCGAAGGTCTTCTCGAGACCGCCCATTACGGATTGTTCCCCCCTTTTGCACAGGCCGGTCGTGAATTTCGTGAAATTGTTGCACTTGGTCGCATAGAATCCTACCGGGCTGTTGATAGATTCGGCGAAGTACTTGAACGAGCGTGCATGGGAACACGCACCGCCGATGTCCACTATGCAACCGAGCTGCCAGGCTCCTCCGTTAGGATAGTAGTCGCAATGACCAATAGCGGACAAGAAACCAAGTAAACCGGCGTTGGTGTGAATGATCTCCACGTGACGTGCGTCGCCACTCGATATCCTGGATCCGGGTCCGGACAAATAGTAGCCGGGCAGGGCTGGGTCCATTCCTGAAAGTCGCGAATTCGCGCCGAATTAACGCGTCCTCGCGATCGACCGACGATCTCATGCCTGTTTCTATACCAACATCCACTAAATCTTACACTCGAAAAAATATAACTTCATTTTTAGCGAAATCCCCTTAGATATTGTCCTCAAGAGGATTCTTTTAAAATCTAAAGGAAAATACATTTCCATGTCCTAAAAAGAAACTCTATTTAGAGAGATTGTCATTTTCTATAATCTCATATCCTAAAGTAATCCTCTTCTAGTGAAGAAGACTATAAATTGGAAGTCTATACTGAAATTATTTTTATATCTGGAACTGGAAAATTCATACAATTTGGCTAGCACTACCATGTTTTTATTTGTGTCAATAATATGTATTATTGAAAAAGTACAGCACTCATAGCGACAATTAAATTTTTTGATCTCATTGATTTTATTTCTGTCAAATTTTGGTTCGGTATACCAAGTTTTCGTTTCGACAACAAAATCCATTTTTCAATGTACTTTTACACAAGATGTTATTTTAACTTTTTCCCTTTTGAGTCGAGAGGATATATTTACTTGAAGCAAAAGTAAGAAGCTTGCTTAAGAAGAAATTTTTATTAAGAATTGTACTACAGACAAAAGACGAAATTTCCCTAACTTTAGGAATATTGTGCTTGGAATATTTTCCTCTTGATTTTAGAAGAATCCTCTTGAAGCCATAGGCGAGAGGATTCGGTTAAGAATGAGATTATATTCTTTTTGCATATATATAATTTGAGTTCAAGTCTCTGAATAAGGTTTGAACTTGGGTTAAAGGTTTGATTAACATTGGTATAAAAACAGATATTAGCTCATAAATGTTGGGGACTTACCGACGACGTAACCGATCATGCCGTTACAATTGCGCGCGGCCAGTCCAACTGCGTGGGCGCCGAGAGAGTGTCCGGCCATTACAGTCTCGGACATATTCATTCCATTTCTCTGAAGAAAGTTAAGCATATCAGCAATGTAAAGCGCGATCTTCTTCACTTGGTTACTGGCCCAGAAATACGGTCTGCAGCTGATATTGCCCCAATCAATAACGATGACGTTGTAGTCGCCGTGTTTCAAGTAAGCTGCGAACAAAGAAAGAGACAGTTCTGAGACGAAAAGAAATTTCGATAGTACTGAGAGAAAACAGAGTAACCCCTTTACATGTTTCATTTCATCACCTAGTCATTCTTACAGAACGAAATCGTTTCACATACCATCGCGTATCAAGGTGCATGCTTTACTCTTGTGAGAATTCATCCATCCGTGAGTCACGAAACGCGTCGGTTTCTTCGGATCAAAGCTGGTCTTCTTTAGAGTCTCCGTGTCGTTCACGTAGATCAGTTCAGGATTTTTGGGTTTCTTCGATGTGTGCAGATAGAAAAGAACACGTTCGCCAATGTTGTCATCTGTTACCTCTAAAGCGTCGGGATCATCCAGAAATGTCATTTCTACTAAATTGTCATCGTCGTCGAAAACATGCAGTCCTTTGAACAATTTGTAATCCATCGGACTGAAGAGTTCGGTAAATATTTCCTCCTCCTCCATCGAAAATCCTGCGAGTCAGAACACAAAAAGCTCAGCTTACTTTTGTATGAAATAGGAAAACAGGAAAACAAGGGGGAGGAAAGTGTATTACATCAAACTCAAATTGATCACAAGTATTTAGCGTTTAGCGCGTTCAAGTATACTAAAATTGAACCGAACGTGTGGACTGAACGATTGAACTGGATGTAGAATCTTATCTTCTCGTTCTCAAAGAAAGCGGAATAAGCGGAATTTTACCGGCGACACAGCTGGCGAACAGGAAACTAATAAAAACACGTTTCTCCATGGTCGTAATAATTCTGCTGCCAACATTGGACCAGCCGGTGCTTATAAAGCGATTATTCTGCCGCTTCGATAATTCAATTTTGAGATAAGATAAGTTTACCCTCTTACGTGAATGCATGGGTTGTAGTTCAATTAACAACACTCGCGTTTCGTTAATAATGTTTGCCGACACATGTTCTTTTGTCGATACTCCACCGACAATAACTTTGACCGATGACATATACATTTATGTTCATTAATAACTTTCATGCTATTATTAACTTGCGTGCAAAGCGTCTACATCACTGTTATATTTTCCATAATTGTATTATTCGTGTAAGTTCTCACGAGAGTACAGATAAGATCTATACTTACAATCTATATGATTAAAATGCACAATGCACTTTTTTTACACAAATCACACATGAAAATCTCATTTATCGGTCAGAAGCCGTCGAACGATTGCGCATGTGTGATCGTTGATATCTAGAATTTCCTACCAGATTACAATTATTTTTAAGACAATAACTAAGAAAGGAATTTCATAATAATATCGACCGATAAAGCATTTCCCATCGGCCGATTTTATTATCGCGTCGGAATCTGCTGTTTTTCCGCGTCTGCTTGACGTCAAGTACAATCCTCGCGGATTCATCGATTTGCTTAATCGTCAAACATTATATAAATTAGACAAAGATTTTAATGCCCCTTGAAAAACTTAATCTGACAAAAGTCACCAGAAGGTAATTAAGAATCCTTTTTTTCCAATAACCAAGCTCCTAAAAATATGAGGATTTTGCTATTTTTGTGCAAAGGTCGCACGCGAAACTAAAAATACAACGGGATACAAATTATCGCAACGCGGTAATCCGATAAATCGCATAATTTAAATAATAAATTCGTTCAAAATGATCAATAAGTTAATTCAGCGCGCCCGCGCGCGCGTGTCAATATATCTCCTGAAAGAGATTAATATTTTTGAGGTCATTATTATTATTTTATTGTGCATTAATAACTGTGTTAATATTGCGTTAATGATATAATTAAACCATCGGGCGCAGCGTATAGAGTTTTTGCACGCAGTACGCGCTTTCAACTCTCGTAATCTCGTTCTAGACAGTCAATTATTTTTGTTGTTATCGGCAATATCAATCATTCTTATAAAATATATCGACAAGTAAAACACACAATTGTCGATTAAAAACAGTTACTTTAGTTTTTCAGCTGCTTCATAACACGCAATTCGCATTGAACAACTGCTGGCGATAACGAGTGCTTGTCCGAACGCGATGATGCAATGTTCAAAAGAACTCAATTTCTCGCAATTGGAGATAGTGCACTTTAGGGTCATAAAATGAAAGGGTCATAAAATATAACGCATGTCAAAGATAAAAATTAAAGGATAATGAGATAAGTACGATATGTTTATGACGATTCGTATTATTGTCGATGATATGATATCGTGTTGGCAAGAATTCAAGTGCATTCAAAAATAATGCTCTTCGAGAAATCATAAAATAAAATAAAGAACTAAAATAAGAATTAAGTAAGCTAAGTAAATATAATACATACGTGACCTTGTCCGCTAAATCTTGCACCTGATCGTACTAATCGAGATCGTTGACACGAGGAGGGGAATGCGAGGTATTACTGGAAACAGAAAGATTTTGCAATTTAACGTGTCAGTGTTGCGAGATCGGTTAATCGAAAGTACGCGCTAATCGACGCGCAGCTTATATGTACTTTTTCTTATCAATAATTTACGACCTCGCAATACCGCCGAAAGCAGCTCCGAATTTTATTGGTGCGAGTGTACCGATGCTTATCCGCGGTGTTTCGAAACACATTTCGCGACGTACATAAATCTCAGACGGGCATTGTCGATGAAGCATCAATGTCAAACACCTGACGAGGAATTACGATAGCGGGCGATAGCGGGATGATTTGATTGACCGGAGCGCGGTATTTCGTTCCGCGTGCGCGATTCCGATCGTCGCGGGATGAAGCGCGGCTGATGCGAGGCTGACGCGCGCGAGATATGCGACTTACGCAAGGAGACAACTGTAGAAAACGCCATCTTCTAAATGGGCCCGTGCGTTTTCCCACCGAGACGCGTTTTAATTCGCGCGGAACTCGCGGGTTTAATTCGTAATTGAGTCCTACGTCGCGGCGCGTGTGCCCCTGTCGCGCGTTTACGTAAATTTTAAAATATTCCAATTAGTATAATGAAATTAGAGCGCGCTTATGAGAATTTCGTGGGCATTAGTCGGGGCGAGGAAACGGTGGCGGCGGTAGAAGCGGCGGTAGAAGCGGCGGTAGAAGCGGCGGATGGACACGGAGGAGAGACGGCCAGCGTTAACGCGTCTATGAAAATTTTCATTTGTACATTGACGCGAGAGACGGTTAAGTGAGAGCGGTAGGATTAAAAGACGCGGACCTGTTGTGGTGTGTATTCTTTTTCAAAGCCGCGGCCCGGCTTCTCGCCCCCGGCGGTTGCATTTCTCAGACAGAATCAAACAGGTTCGCTCGTAGTGCGCGGGGTAAAAACCAGTTTTAACGACCCGCTTGAAATTTTTATTGTACACAGAGAAAGGAAGAGAGAGAGAGAGAGAGAGAGAGAGGGTTCTTTCGCGCTTCACGCGATGCACTCAATACAAATACTCTTCGATCTGTAGCCGGGCTATCGCCTTTGTTCCGGCGCGTTTACAGGTGTTGAATATTAAAATGAGATGGGTTTATCGGAAAAATCATATCGCGGGACGCGATCGGGTCGCGTTTACCAGCGTGCTCCTCGTTTACTTTCGCCCATTGCGTTATTTGCGGACTGACGCCACCCGATACGATCGACGGGAAGTTCGAGTTTGCAGATAGAATCGTGAGAGACGCATTCTCCTTTCCAGAACCTCCTTCAAAAATTGAAGAAAAAGACAGAAAGTCGATTCTCGATTTTCGTATTAGCCTTCTCTCGGAAATCGACTTTTTTTATGCGCGAGAAAGAATAGAAAAAAAAACTTTTTTGCATTTTTTGGCGGAGCACGGGTTACTATGCTACACCCGTGCAAAATTATGCTTAGATGACCAAAGACTCGACGTTCACGGTGCGAGCGCTTGCGTGAAGCTCGAAAATGAGGGGGCGGACGAGGGGGTTAGCAAAGTGGGTGGTGGTCTGGGGGTGAGGGGGGAGTTTGGAGCTGTGAAAGCGAGGGCGCCTGCAGTGACTAGCCTCCATCGATTTACCGTGCGGCGCCATCTTGCCACCCTACGCCACGGGGGTTGACCACCCCTCTGCCACCCTCCTACCCCTCTCCACCGCCGCCCGTCGGGGTCACCCCCCTCGAGGCAGAGGCAGACATTTTGAAAAATGATTCCGAAAGTCATCGTGGCCCGCGCTGGCGTTTTTTAGCGGGCTCGGCTCGGCCCAGCCCGCCCGGCTCGCCGCCCGACGACCACCCCTCTCCTCTTTTTCACCCCCGCGGTCTTTCGTGGCTAAAGAGCAAGGGAAGAAAAAGTGGTCGCGCTGACAAAAAGAGGGAAAACTATCGCGGCAAAAGACGCGGAAATAAATGAGCGTGTGGCGCGTTTTCGTCGAGGGGCGGGCGGGAAGGGGTGAGAGACGGAGGGCAGAGCTGCCCCACGTGTGTCCCGGTTATTAAGGCTTGAGCGACGGGATTTTCGCGACAACGAGAAGCCCAGGTCGCGCGACAAAACGCGTCGATCTTTCTACCGTGTCCGCCAACAAAACGATCGTTTCTCGGCGAATAGCAGTGCATTATTCACGGTCACGTTTATTCGAAAATCGCTGCGCTACGCAGAATTCGTCGAAACGACGACGCTGCGTTTTTTCCCCTTTTTGTCCTTTGTTTTTTTTTTTTTTTTCTTTAATTATATTTCATTTCCAACACGCGTGCGGAAACGCGACGACACGCTCAATTTCGAATACACGAGGGTAATGCGTAAAAATGATTGAATGATTACAACAGTCCTATCGCGTGTGCGTTTGACTCCTTGCTGAAATATCGACGGCCAGGGCGCGGGCGCGTTACTTCGTTTTACATTAATTTATATGGCGCGATATCGTCGTTGCACTCGGAGAATTTATGATTACTCTTATATAACGTTTATGTAACGCCGCGAGGCGGGATTTATGATCATTCTTATGTACTTTTGTGTAACGCTGCGTCGCTACTATCTCCGATAATGCATCGACCTTGCATTATCTACGCTCAAATACTCAAATAAAAAAAATGCTGAACATTCTGAAGTTGCACATTCTCGCGGAACTTCGAAACAAATGACACGACGGTAACACGACCTATCATTTGTTAAACACAAAATATCGAATCGTAAATTCCGGCGTGAAGCTTCCGCGCTTTCCTCTCCGATTATCTCGTGCGTTACTTCGTGCGTTCTCGAATTGACGAAATTACGGAACACTTAAGGAGATTCCAGCAATTCGCTGAAAGGACGTGATATTTTAAATGGACGGTTGCAGCCTGTGGCTGGACATTCTGAATTGAAAGAGGCGAGGAACAAAGGTCGGACAGGAGAGAAAGATTTCAATCGCGTCTACCAATCGTGGAATAAACAATACGGGCTTTCGAGAATGCACAGTGCGGTCGATCGGCTCTCGATTAATCAGAAAAAAAATTCTTGTTTTCGCAAAAAAGGATCACCATTCGAGACGATGGGGGCGGAAACAAGAGAAGTCCTGAAGTCTCTCGTGGGAGATGCGTGGACCGGTGGAAATCAAATACGCGAAATAGCTGATAAAAATAAATCCTTCCTATGAGAGGGTGAGGAAAACAATAACAGCGGGCTGTCAAATAATATTTATTCGTGGCGTCGTTGTGAGCGCAATAATCATTTATAGATAAAGAAACACAATGACGCCAGTTGACGCACACTTTTAAATAACGTCTCATTAGTATGCCGCTCGGGTGGCGCGCGCGATCCGCATTGCGAGACGAAAGTATGTCAAA